TCTATATACAAACAACAAAAATGTGAAGACAGAAATTAAAAACAAAATACCATTTACAATTGCTCCAAAGAAATTAAAGTCAGATACAAACCTAATGAAATATGTATAGGATCTTTATCCTAAAAATTATAACATTGATGAAAAAAATTGAATAAAATCTACATAGTGAGAAACATATTGTACTCATGTATTAGAAGATTCAACAAGATGCCAATTCTCCCCAAATTGATATATAGATTTAATGCAATTCCTACCAAAATCCCAGCAAGTGTTTTACAGACATAGGCAAGTTTATTCTAAAATTGAAATGGAAAGGCACATGGCCTGGAATAGCTAAAGAAATTTTGAAAAAGCAGAATAAAGTGGGAGGAATCATTATACCTGATATTAAGGCTTACTATAGCCAGCCCTGGTGGTCTAGTGATTAAGATTCGGCACTGTCAACACTGCAGCCCAGGTTTGTTTCCTGGTCAGGGAATCACAAAACCCATTAGTCAGTTGTCATACTGTGGTGGCTGCATGTTACTGTGATGCTGAAAGCTATGACACTGGGATTTCAAATACCAGCAGGGTCACCCATGGTGGACAGGCTTCAGTGGAGCTTCCAGACTAAGACAGACGTGGCCACTCACTTCTGAAAAAATTGGCCATGACAACCCTGTGAAGAGCAGCAGAGCACTGGCTGATATAGCACCAGAAGGTAAGAGGATGGCACAAAAAGACCAGGCAGGGTTTGCTCTTCTATATACAGGGTCACCAGGAGTCAGAATGGACTTGACAGTACTAACAACAAAAGACTTACTACAGAGCTACATGACAGAAATTAAGACAGTATGATACCAGCAGAAGGATAAACACATAGATCAACGGGATAGATCAGAGAACCCAGAGATAGAACCACACAAGTATGCCCAACTGATTGTTGCCTGCAAAGGCAATTCAATGGAGGAAGGACAGACTTTTCAACAAACGGTGTTAGAGCAACTGGATAATCACAGGCCAAATAAAACCGCAACCTAGATCTCACAAGTTATACAAAAATTAACTCACAGTAGATCATGGACTTAAATGCAAAATAGAAATCAATAAAGCTTGTAAAAGCAAACAAAGGAGAAAATCTTTAGGACTAGACAAAGAGTTCTTAGAGTCACCACCGAAAATACAATCCATAAAAGGAAAAATTGAAAAATGATGTTATCAAATTAAAATATTTGCTCTGTGAAAGACGTTATTAAGTGATGAAAAGATAAGCTACAAGCTGGGAGAAAATGTTTTCAAACATATCTGGCATAGAATTTTTAATCCAGAATACAGGCATAATCATTTTATTGCACTTCACAGATAATGCATTTTTTACAAGACCCTCCACCAGCAAAAAGATTATGACTTGCTGAAGGCTCAGATGATAGTTAGTAGTTTTTAGCAATAAAGCATTTTAAAATTAAGGTATGTACATCGTTTTCTTAGACATAATGCAATTGCACACATGACAGACTACAGTATAGTGTAAATATAACTTTCACATGCACTGGGAAACCAAAAAGTTCATGTGATTCACTTTATTGTGATATTTGCTTCATTGCAGTGGTCTAGAACCAAACCCACAATATCTCCAAGGTATGCCTGCATATATTTTAAAAATCCCTGAGGGGCGGCCCGGTGGCTCAGCAGTTAAATTCGCACATTCCACTTCAGCGGCCCGCGTCGGTGGCCCAGGGTTCGCGGGTTCGGATCCCGGGTGTGAACATGGCACCACTTGGCAAGCCATGCTGTGGTAGGTGTCCCACGTATGAAGTAAAGGAAGATGGGCACGGATGTCAGCTCCAGGCCAGTCTTCCTCAGCAAAGAGAGGAAGATTGGCGGCAGATGTTAGCTCAGGGCTAATCTTCCTCAAAAAAGACCAAAAAACAAAAAAAACTCTACACTTACCATACAACTCAGCAATTACACTCTTGGGCATTTATCCTAGGAAAATGAAAACTTATGCTCACAAAAAACCTGTACACGAATGTTCGTAGAAGCTGTGTTTGTAATAGCCAAAAACTGGAAACAATCTCCACCAGGTGAATAAACTGTGGTACCTCCATTCTATAGACTACTACTCAGTAACAAAAAAGAACAAACTACTGGTTCACAGAAAAAGTTGGATGGCTCTCAAGGGAGTTCTGCTGAGTGAAAAAAAGTCAATCTCAAAAGGTTACATGCTGTATCATTCCATTTAAATAGCATTCTTGAAATGACAAAATTATAGAGATGAGCAGATTAGTGGTTGCTAAGAGGTTAGGGCGAGGGGAAGGGAGGGATGTGGCTGTGGCTGTAAAAAGATAGCACAAGGGATTCTTCTGATAAAACTGTTCTGCATCCTTACTGTGGTGGTCACACAAATCCACACACACAAATGAGCACACGCAAAACAGGTGAAATCTGAGTAAGTTGATGGATTATATTAATGTCAGTTTTCTGGTTATGATATTCTACTATAATTATGCAAGATGTTCCTATTGGGAGAGATTAAAGGATAGATGGAATCTATTATTTCTTACAATTGTATGTGAATCAATAATTATCTCAAAAACTTTAAAGAAAATCAAGGAAGCAATACGTGAAAATGAATGTGAAACAGGAAGTGAGGGTGGCGGTGTTCAATTTAATTCCAAAGTTTCAGAAGCTTTGCAGCGCCCCACAGAAACACACATCCCACTAGTAAATAATGGAGATTATTCCTCATGAAAGGGCTTGTGAGAAGAAAATCTGAAAGACTCTTCGTTGAACCAAGAGACTGGGTTTTCCAAATGAGACTGTTTAACTGTCAAAGCAAGATCCTGTGGATTGGCAGATTTAATGTTTAAGTTGTCCCCATCTTCTCCATCCCCCAATGCCCTGTAGGGTGGGAGGAAGCTTCTGATGAAGAGTGGATTAGTTAAAAGAAAATAAGAAGCTACATTTTTTTGCACATCTGAAAGTAGTGAGGACACCTGTGATCCTGCTACATATGATTAAAGATACTAAAACCTTTTTAACGTAGTCACTGCAATTATATTTCTAAAAACCTGATTCTAGTGTATTTTGCTTAGATTCAGATGTGCCAAGGAAGAGTGGAAATGACTGGGAAAGATCAGTGCAGCCAGAAGTTCTCAGAGAAGGCAGACATGTGGGTTGCTGTCTTAAAACTTTATTGAATAAATACTCTTTAGAATATATGATGAACTTGGTCTACATTGCATGCAATAAAGGTGAACATGACAGCAGTTTAACATGAAATGTTAAACTAATTAGTGTATAAAATTGCTTATGTAGCTGTCATGCAAGAACAAAGTATTAAGTTTGGCATTTTCACCAAGCTTCTGCGATCAGCTTTAAAAAAGGCATTTGAAGAAATGGTTAGATTTCTTTAGTATGGTATGTATTTCAAACAAATTAATTACATGGGTAAAACTCAAACTTCTTTCAACCTCTCTTGCATTCCAAACAAAATCTTAGTACAAACATCAAAAATGCTGGTCACCCCCAAAAGACAGACTGCCAAACTCATAACAGAATGTAAGTTCTGAAATAATGTTTATTAAGTAAGGTTTATTAAGTAGGATAAAACCAAGAACTATCAGTCACTGCAAAATTCATGTAAGAACATTTAATGGTCCAACTCTGTAAGCATTTCTTTTAAGTTTCTCACATTAATGAGTGCTGTTTACAGTACTAAAATTCTATCATTCAGGCATCAATGATTACAGTTCAGAAAAAAGAAATCATTCATGACATCTTTCTACAAAAGAGCAAAAATAATGAACAGGACCAGTATCCCTAATGGGATACATGGGATGGGGGGATTAGGAAAAAGAAAAATGGTGCTTTACTTTCACAGTAGGAATTGTGTAATGTAAACATCATATGGCCCACATCACAAATCCACGAGAAAGGCTCAAATGTGAACACTGTGTATGTGTCATCTTAAAATCTATGTTCTCGAGTTTATACTGAATCTGTTTGTACCAATACATGGCAAATATCTATCACTCTTTCACAAACGCTGAACCATTCTAGGGGAGTACTGGAGAAAAAGTCCTTACTTACGTCTCACCTAATACAACTTTTATTTAGATGTAAATCCTTTGAGTCAACCACTTTAAATACCAACATGTGCCTCCATTAATCCCTCTCTTTTCACCCTCCTATCCCAGACACCCCAAAAGAACCCTGGTAGTCTAATGTCTTTAGCCTGCTAGGCCTTAAGAGTGAGGTTGTTGAGTACCATCTCCACTGGAACAAAAGTACACTTTCTACTGCACCTTCCTTTTCTTTAACAATTGAGCAGAACTGTAATGCTTTCAAGCATGTGTCTAGATCTCTACATCATTAAGCTGCTGCTGGCATGACTGCTGGCTCTACAGAAGGGCTGCTGGTCTACAATGGCTAGTGCCAGTAGCCAGGTTATTTTAGAATTCTGCTTATCAGGAAGGAAATCAAAGGTTGTGCGTGTGAGCTAGAGGGGTGCTTCCTGCCAGCCCCATTCAATCTTGCTATGCACTGTAATTAGCACGGTTTTGCTCACTTCCTTGTTTGTTGTAATTGCGGCAGGAAGAACTGTTTCTGTCTCCAAGAACCAGCTTGTCCCTAGGAGGGGACGTGGTAGAGAGAGGAGCAGTTGATGAGGAGCCATTGGAAGGGCTCTGCAGAGCAGATGTATTGTGGTAAGTCTCAATTTCCAGATCCTTTGAACGGTCCTTAATGCCCTTGAATAAGACACAGAGTAGCTCGATGATGTTCAAGGCAAGAGACACCAAGGACACCACCAGCATGAAGAGGGTAAAGATGCTTTTCTCTGTGGGGCGAGAGAGGAAGCAGTCCACCTGATGCGGGCAGGGGTCTCGTTTGCAAGTGTAAATTGCATTCAGGCTGAATCCATAGAGGTACCACTGGATCAGCAGGAACGCCACCTCAAAGAGAGACCTGAAGAAGATACTGATGGTATAGGTTCGCAGCAAGCCCCCCCTGACTTTCACCTTGCCGTGTTCTTCAATGCCATACTTCATCTTCTTGATTTCGATCTCCTGCAAGCGCATCTCCACGTTGACACCATTGGTTTGGGCAACTTTGTGTTCCTCCTCTTTCTTGTTCAACTTCTCTTCTTTTCGCATCACATAGAACACATGCGCTAGGTAAAAGAGTGTGGGGACAGACACAAATATGATCTGCAGGACCCAGAAGCACACGTGAGAGATTGGAAAGGACTTATCATAACAGACATTTTCACAACCAGGCTGTCGAGTGTTACAACGAAAGCCAAACTGCTCATCATCCCAGGCTGACTCAACTGCTGTCCCCAGGAGCAGGATTCGAAAAATGAAAATGACTGAGAGCCACATCTTCCCTCCAGTGGTAGAGTAAGCTTGAACCTTGTCGTGGAGTTGGCCTAAGGCACTCAAGGCACTCAATCACTCATGTTGCCTGTTTGCTGTTCTTTCGCTTAAAAGAAGTGAAGTAGGCACGCCAAGTGATTGCACTCCTTGGAGGATGAAGTAAAATGAAAGAGTAAGTTCAAGCACTCAAAACTGTCTCAAGTTCACAAGTCTGCTATTCTTTGATACCTTCCTCACTCTTCCCCCTCATGAAAGACAACTGCTGATATCTGATAAAAGCTTATGTGGATTCATTTCACACACGGTGAGTATATACTTCTAAATAAGGATGTACATATACCAATAATGGGAAAAGTTACATAAATGTGGGAACAAAATAGACACATCTAAAGGTCTCCTTCAATTCCAGAATAAAGTAATCTTCAAAGATAAAGACTCAAACACAGAAACTGAATTAAAAATTCACATGCAAGTATTGACTGGTTTATCTTCAGACATATTAGGGCCATCATTCCCAAATAGGTAATGACGTTCATTCGAGCATTATTTATTCAGTGCCTACTAGGTGCAAGGTACTGTACTGGGCACTGATTCCTACTGATGAGTAAAATAGAATTCAACTGAGGGAAACAGATACAACTGATTGTAAGATACACCATTATTTTACTTACCATTCAGAAAGCAATCAAGGCACCCACTATAAGTTGTGCCCCAATTTCAGAAATGTGGGGAGAAATGTATATCTTAGAATCCGTGAAAAAGGCTAAGTGAGTAAGTGAATATACAATTGCAAATTTAAATAAGTCCTAAGAAGGAAACAAACAGGTACTGACAGAGGATAACGTAAGGAAACCCAAATCAGACTGTATAGAGTCAGCCAGGCGAAGACTGGAAAAACCGCTGCATGTGAAGGAAGCAGCATGGGCAACAATTCGAAGGGGCAAGAACCCACTGTACTCCAGGAGCTCAAGGGCAGCAGCATGGTTACCAGGTAGAGGCAGAGGTAGCCAACTGGTGCCGGAGGGGGTTACCTTAAGCATCTGCTTGACAGCAGCCAAGAAGCCCAGAAGAAGAAAGCAAGATTATACTGTGAGTCTGGAGCAAGACTGAGGCCATGGGAGAAATTTCTAACGGCAGTTCAGGGAACAGTAGCAGCTCGAGCGAACAGTGGGAAGGTTGGGGGAAGAAACGGGATGCAATTGAAGGATGTACAGAGAAGTACAGGGATGAGGGTTCCGTGCAGTGAGTTTTGGTGGTGACAAAATGTAAAAGAGGATGTCAGGAATCATGGGGCTCGTCCTGAGAGTCTCTGGTGGGGGGAACAGGTGATCAGTACTGCTGCTGTGATGCTGACTGCTGTGGTGAATGAGGGGGCATTTTGAAAAGATAGGTGCCATCCCAGTTAGCAGGAAGAACCAAGATCAGGACAAAAAAAGGAGCTGCTGCTCCCTCCTTATCTGGGGATTAGAAGTCAGGTCCCTGACAACAGGGGCCTCAATTTACATACTTATTTACTGAATGTGAACCATTATCTTCAGTTGAATCGTTAGCACATGGAAACTTTTCTTGTTAAGACTAAACTACTGATACACTGTGTTCATTCTTGTGGGTTTCTTCTAGGATACTGTTATAATATATCAAGAGGCTTTTTTTTTTAAATTTCAGGAGGAGCAACACTGATATCACTCATTAATCTATTGAGGGCGGGTGGAATCTGGCCTGCGACATAACACGTAACTGTGCCACTGCTGCAGACCTGCTATTCTTTCTCCATTTCCTCCCCGGACAGCCCTATTTCTTTACAAGAAATGTCTCTAAGCAAAAGCCTGGGGAAAGGTTTCTGCCTCTAATTCAGAGCATGTTAGACAAATGGATCTTACCTTAAAAAGGGATCACAGCTAATTGATTACCACATAGCAAAAAGTAGTTATTTTCAACCAAATCATTTCAATACAGCACTGACTCATCATTTTTTAAAACAAACTTTATTTAGTATATTAAGATAACACATATTTAATATCTTAGTTCTCTCTCTTCAAAAAAACCCCAAAATCTTTAATTCCCAAAGATAGCTATTCATTTTAAATAATTAGGAAAATTAAAAGAGAAAAATATTTCTTAAAATAAACATAATACGAATTTGCCAACTAATAAGCAATCTTAAATACCATGCAACTAATTTGTTTCTTGATTTAATGGCTATTCCTCACAGTAGATTCAGTGAGAAAAATAAAACAAAATGAAACCTAAAAAAAGGGCAAGGTTAATGGAATTTACAATGTCTCAAGTGACCGAATTGGTTACATCTATCTTCAAGGATAGAAACTGAAGGCTCCCAAAATGTAATTTTTTTTGCAAGTAATCAAATTATAAGGCTTTAAAGTACACACAGTAGTTTCTCTGTTACTTAAATAACACATTTTCACCAAATTGTTCTCTATCACACAGATTCTGAAAGTAATCCTATTAAGCTAAAGTCACTGAGATCTATAGTTTATAATTAATACATTCTTCAAGGTTAATTGAAAATAAACCATTGGCAACATAAGAGTTAGGCATTTATTCTTATTAGTTTTTCAAATTTAAACAGAGTTTAGTCTCCAGAGATGTCAAAGTGCCTTAGAAAATTAAGTTATTTCTTCAAAAACAAGTGGGATAAAATAATAACAAGTGAAGGTTAAAGAAAATAATCCTGAAACTACTTTAGTATGGTTGATAGAAGGTATCTGATACAACAAAAAACAGTGCTGTAAGGGGAAAAGAAAATCAATAATTCTAGTTAATTTAGGATAAAGTTATTAGCAATTTTCTAGAATTACATGAAGTTCTTAAGTTTTTCAAATATTTTGTTCTGAAAAAGTTCTTACTAAGCACTTTGAAAATATATAGATCTGAGATTCAAAGGGATAAAAACAACTGAGAATGAGTCATCTCGGCTAAGCAAATGGTTCAGAGGAAAATTAAAAGCCTCTTGCTAAAGATTATTTTTAAACTGGACAAGATATTTCCAGTTTTAAAATATAAATGTAAGGGGCTGGCCCCATGGCCGAGTGGTTAAGTTTGCGCACTCCACTGCAGGTGGCCCAGTGTTTCGTTGGTTCAAATCCTGGGCACGGACATGGCACTGCTCATCAAACCACGCTGAGGCAGCATCCCACATGCCACAACTAGAAGAACCCACAGCGAAGAATATACAACTATGTACCGGGGGGCTTTGGGGAGAAAAAGGAAAAAAATAAAATCTTTAAAAAAAATATATATATATATAAATGTAAGATTTCACGTTTCAGTTCTAACATGTAAAAGTGCTTAGATATTGTTACTGCTTTCTCTACAGCAAGAAAAAACCTGAACAAACTGGAAATCAAAAACTTTTCTTAGGCTTATCAGAGAATTGAAGACAAAGGGCAAACTGAACTCCTAAAATCTGGAGAGACGGGCAAATACAGAGAATCACATTCAAGATCAGCTTACCTGGAGCAGAAGCTGCTGGAGTGAAACACTAGTAAGAAAACTTAAATGGTAATTTTAACAAAAGCTTGAGAGTAAGAAGTCCTGGGGGCCTAGTCTTAGGACAGCCTCCACACTCTCGTGGCTTTACCTCCAGGAACCTCACCAGGTTATGACTGTGAAGATCCAAGAACAATCTCCTCCTCTTTTGGGTAAGAGCAAGAGAAATGTAACAACTCTGAAATACGCCCAGGGTGAAGATCCAATAAAAATCTTCTCCCTTTTGGGTAAGAGGAAGGGGAAAGTAACCATTTTGAAATATGCCCAGGGAAAATGTAACAGTTTTGAAATAAGCCCAGAATGTTCTCCATAACAAAAGCCAATGCACCAAACATTTACCAGAGCCTTATATGTACTCCTGGGAGAGGAGAAATAAGACAACTACAGCCCCCTCTAGCCTTCTTGTTTCATCTAAAAGGAAGAGAGGAAAAACGGCTAAGAAATATTTCTGAAGGTTGCATGCAGTGCAGGGCTGAGGCCCACCAAAAGACTAAGATTTGGTCCTAAGATTATAAAACACTTCCCCTTCCCCACACTCTACCACTATGTCACCAGGGTTCCAGTACAGTAACAGTGGATTACAACTGAAAGAGTTGCAAGAAACAGACTCTATTTAAAAAGAAGTTCATAGGTAGGAAAACCCAAAGACAATGGGAGTGAAAAATAAACAAAAGAAAGACACTAGAGGAAACTGAAGCCTCTGGCACCTACACCTACAATGAACATTAAACACAGCCCAGCTCCTAGCCAATTAACATAAAATATTACACTAAAAACCTATTTACCACAGTTCCAATATATACTAACTTTTAAAAAACATTAAAAAGCATGCTCAAAGGCAAGAAAAAACACAGTCTGAGGAGACAAAGAAAGCATCAGAACCAGACTCAGATATGGCACAGATTTGGAGATTATCAGGGATAATTTCAGATAGGGAATTTAAAATAACTATGAGTACTATGTTAAGAGCTCTAATGTAGTAGACAACATGCAAGAACAGGTGAGTAATGTAAGCATTCACAACTCTAAGGAAGAATTAAAAGAAAATGCTAGAAATCAAAAACACTATGACAAAAATGAATAATGCCTTTAATAGACTCATCAGTAGATTGGCCATGGCTGAGAAAAGAATCAGTGAGCTTAAAGCTATGTCAATAGAAATCTCTCAAACTAAAATGCAAAGAGAAAAAAGAATTTAAAAAAACAGATCAGATTACCCAAGAACAATGGGATAATTATAAAAGGTATAACTAGAACACCAGAAGGAGAAGAATGAGACGAAGAAAAAGAAATATTTGAAGGAATAATGGCTGAGAATCTTCCAAAATTAATAACAGACATCAAACCACACATCCAGGAAGCTCAGAGAACACCAAGCAGGATAAATACCAAAAAACCTACACCTAAACACATCACATTCAAACTACAGAAAACCAAACACAAAGAGAATATCATGAAAGAAGTCAGAGGGGAAAAAAACACTTTACCTATAGAGAACAAGCACAACAAGTACATCCGACTTCTTGTCAGAAGCCATGAAGTAAAATATTTAAAGGGTTGAAAGAAAAAAACCACTGACCTAGAAGATATTCAGAGAAATTATTCCTCAAAAGTGAAGAAGAAATAAAGACTTTGTCAGATAAACCAAAACTGAGTAAACGTGTCACCATTAGACCTGCCTAGTAAAAATTGTTTTAAAAAGTTCTTCAGAGAGAAGGAAAATGATATAGGTCAGAAAGTCAGATCCACACAGAGAAAGGAAGAGAATTGGAAAAGGAATAAATGAGGGTAAAATAAAATCTATTTTTCCCATTCTTCATAGATAACTGTTCAAAAATAATAGTAGAAATGTATTCACTGATTATAGCGTATGGATAAGTGAAGTGAATGACAGCAATGTTACAAGGGATGAGAGGGAGGAATTAGGAAAATTCTGGTACAGGGTCCCCGTACTACCCGGGAGGTGGAATAAAGTTATCTGATAGGGGACTTAGATAAGTTATAAATGTATACTGCAAATTCTAGGGCAACAACCAAAAACTTTTTTTAAATCAAGTACAATGGATATGCTAAGACAGGAGAGAAAACAGAATCATATAAAATGGTCAAGCAAAATCAGAGAAGGCAGAAAAAGAGGGGACTATTTTTGTTAAAAAAGAAAAAATATAACAGAAAAGTTACAAACATGGCGCCTATTAATGCAAATATGTTAATAATCACTTCAAATGTAAATAGCCTATATACACCAATTAAAAGAGATTATCAGGGTGGATTTTAAAAACCCACTTTAGGGGCCGGCCCGGTGGCACAGCGGTTAAGTTCGCACGTTCTGCTTCTCGGCAGCCCAGGGTTCAACGGTTCGGATCCTGGACGCAGACACGGCACAGCTTGGCAAAAGCCATGTTGTGGCAGGCGTCCCATGTACAAAGTAGAGGAAGATGGGCATGGATGTTAGCTCAGGGCCAGTCTTCCTCAGCAAAAAGAGGAGGATTGGCAGCAGTTAGCTCAGGGCTAATCTTCCTCAAAAATAAATAAATAAATAAATAAAAATAAAAACCAACTTTAAATATAAAGATACAGATAGGTTAAAAGCAAAGGGATGGAGAAAGATATACCATGTTAACATTAATCAAAAGAAAGCTGGAGTTGCTATATCAATTTTAGACAAAGCAGATTTCAGAACAAATAAAATCATCAGGGATAAAGAGGGGAATTACAAAATGATACATTCTCCAAGAAGATATAACAATCCTTAATATACATGCACCAAACAAGAGAGCATCAAAATACATGAGGCTAATAATGATAGACCTGCAAAGAGAAATAGACAAATCCACTATTATAGTTGGAGACTTCAATACCCCCCTTTCAGTAACTGACAGATCCAGCAGGCAAAAAACGAGTAAGGATATAGGTGAATTGAACACACCATCAATCAACTGGATCTACTTGACATTTACATAATACTTTACCCAAGAACAACAGAATACATATTCTTTTCAAGCTCACACGGGACATTCATCAAGATAGACCAAATTCTGGGCAATAAAACACAACTGAACAAATTTTAAAGAATAAAAACCATACAAAGTTTACTTTCATACCACTATTAAACTAGAAATTAAAACTAGGAATTAAACTAGAAATCAACAAAAAGATAGCTGGAAAATCTCAAAATATTTAAAGATTAAACAATACACTTCTAAATAACACACAGGTCAAAAAAGAAATCTCAAGAGGAATTTTAAAATATTTTGAACTAAATGAAAATGCAAATCAAAATTTGTGTGATGCTGCGAAAACAGTGCTTAAAGAAAAGTTTATAGCATGAAATGCATATAGTAGAAAAGGAGACAAACCCAAAATCAATAACCTAAGCTTCTATCTTAGCAAATAAAACCAAGGACAACTTAAGTCTAAAGCAAGGAAAAGAAAAGAATAATAAAAATTATAGTGATAAAAGGAACTCAATAGTGAAAATGAATGAAAACAAAAGCTGCTTCTTTGAAAGGATCAATAAAATTGACAAACCTCTACCAAGGCTAATCAAGAAAATAGAAACACAAATTATTAATATTAGAAGTAAAGGAAGAGTCATCACTATCACACGGACATTAAAAAGATTTATAATAAAGGAAAATTATGAACAAATCTATGCCTAAAAACTTGATAACTTAGACAAATCGACCAATTCCTTGAAAGACACAAACTACCAAAATTTACACAAGGAATAATAGACAATCTAAATAGGCCTATATCTATGGAAGACAATCAATAATTAATAACCTTCCAAAAAAGAAGTCCCAAACCCAGAAGGTTTCACTGGTGAATGCTACCACACATTTAAGGGAAGAAATTATACCAATTCTCTACAATCTTTTCCAGAAAATAGAAGCAGAGGAATACTTCCTAACTCACTCTATGAAGCCAGTATCACCCTAATATCAAAATCCGATAAAGACATTAAAAGACAGGCAAACTACAGATGAATATCTCTCTTGAACATAGATGTAGAAATCCTCAACAAATATTAGCAAATCAAATTCAGCGGTGTATAAAAAGACTTTTACAACATGACCAAGTGGGATTTTCTAAAATCAATTCATGTAATCTACCACTATCAACAGACTAAAGTAGAAACAGCACATGATCATATCACTTGATATAGAAAAGTATTTAACAAAATTCAACACCCATTTGTGATAAAAACTCTCAAAAATCTAGGAATAGAGAGAATTTTATCAACTTGGTAAAGGACATCTACAAAAAACCTACAGCTAACATCACACTTAATGGTGAGAAACTGCATGCCTTCCCACTAGGCTCAGGAACAAGACAAGAATGTCCCCTCCCACCATTTGTATCCAACATTGTACTGAAAGCCATAACTAATACAATAAGACAAGAAAAGATATACAGATTGGGAAAGAAGAAATAAAACTATTTTGTTCACAGACAACATGATTGTCTGCAGAGAAAATCTCAAAGAATCTACCCAAAAAAACTCCTGGAACTAATAAGGAATTCTAGAAAGGTAACAGGATGCAAGGTTAATATATAAAAGACAATCACTTTCCTTTGTATCATCACTGAACAATTGGAAATTAAAATTAAAAACAATATCATTTACATTATCACCAAAAGAAAAAAAAGGAAGTACTAATCTAACAAAATATTTCCAAGATCTGTATGCAAAAAACTACATAACTCTGTTGAAAGAAATCAAAGATCTAAATAAATGGAGAGATACTCTGTGTTGACAGATTGGAAGACTCAATATAGTTAAGGTGTCAATTCTTCTCAACTTGATCTACAGATTCAATGTGATCCCAATCCTGGGAAGCTATTTTGTGGATATCAACAAATTGATTTTAAAGATAATATGGAAACGCAAAAGATCCAGAATAGCCAACACAGTTCTGAAAAGGACAAACAAAATCGGACGACTGACGCTATCTGACTTTAAGACTTACTATAAAGCTACAGTAATCAAGAAAGTAGGGTACTGGTGAAGAACAGACACACAGATCAATGGGACAGAATAACAGAGAGCCCCCAAACAGACTCAACACAAACACAGTTGATCTTTGACAAAGAAGCAGAGGCAATCCAATGGAGAAAGAAGTCTTTTCATCAAATGGTTGAAACTCAATTAAAAAGTGGCAAAGGACTTGAATAGACATTTTTCTTAAAAAAAGATACATAAATGGCCAATGAGCACATGAAAAGATGCTCATCACTAATTGTTAGTGTCATGCAAATCAAAACCACAATGTGAAATTTTACATCCACTAGGATGGCTCCAATTAAAAAAAAAATAAGGAAACAAGTGTTGGCAAGGATGTGGAGAAATTGGAACCCTTGTACATCGCTGGCAGTAATGTAAAACGGTACAGCCACTGTGGAAAGCAGTGTTGAGGTTCCTCAAAAAGTTAAACATAGAATTCCCATATTACTTAGCATTTCCACTCCTAGGTATATACCCAAAAAGAACTGAAAACAAGGACACCAATTTGTACATGAAAGTTCACAACACTATTCACTATAGTCAAAAGGTAGAAACAATACAAACATCCACTGACAGATGAGTGGATAAACAAAATGTGGTATCGGCATACAATGGAATATTATTCAGTCATAAAAACGAACAAAGTACTGATACAGGCTACAACGTGGATGAATCTCAAAAGCATTATGCTGAGTGAAAGAAGTCAAACTCAAAAGGTCACATATTGTATATGAGTTCACTTAGATGAAATATTCAGAATAAGTAAATCCATAGACACAGAAAGCAGATTGGTGGTTGCCAGGGAAAGGGAGAGGGAGAAACAGGGAGTGAGCACTTAATGGGTACAGGGTTTCTTTTGGGGAGATGAAAATGTTTTGGAACTTGATAGAGGTAGTGATTGTACAACACTGTGAATGTACTAAATGCCACTGAATTGTACACTTGAAAACAGTTGGTTTTATATTATGTGAATTTTACCTCATTTAAAAAAAAAAGAGGAGTCTAAAATGTGGCTCAATTCCTGGCTCTACCACCTACTAACTTATATGGCCTTCAGAAAATTAACCTATTTGTGCATTAGTTTCCTCCATGTAAAAGGAAGATAATTCTTTTATAGTTGTTATGAGGATTTAAAGAGTAACAAAACTAAAGCACCTAGCAGAATGCCTAGAAGTTAAGAGGTACTGAAACACAAATTATTACTCTTTCCTCTTAACTTCTCATTTATGTCCACTTGAATTACATTAGGAAGGTATCTCAAGTTCTTTGTCTCCAAAGAATTTTACTCTTCATATTTTTGAGAACGTTCTTCTCTTGAACTCAAGTAAGCTTTCATAGTCTCACGGAGACTGTTTTCTTCTTTGCACTCATCTTTGGATGAAAAAAGACTTATTCAGGCCAGTGACAAAACATAGTCAAGCTGAACAGATTGTATGTGTCTCTGTATGCCCAGTCCCGTGCAAAGGCCACTTCTCTGTTCTGACAATTGATATGTGAAAGAGGTAACCAAAAAAATTTCCAGCCATTCAAAGGATTTACCCAAGTCCAGCTCAAAGGAAAGTAATTTTCAGTGGAAGTCCCACACTTTATTAACTCCATTCCTCAGGCTCCAAGTGCACCAAGGGCAAAGAGACAAATAGAAATTGAGATTGTTGGTCCACTGAGGCCACTATGCTGTTTCCACCATATTCTCCTAGTCATGGCTTGCTCAACGTCAGAAATTAGCAAACTTTTTCTGTTAAGGGCCACAAAATAAATATTTTAGGCTTTGTATGTCATACAGTCTCTGTTGCAACTACTCAACTCTGTCATTTTAGTGCCAAAGCAACCATAGGATAATACGTAAATGAATGAGTGTGGCTGTGTTCCAATAAAACTTTATAAAATGGGCAGCGAGCCAAATTTGGCCCATAGGCAGTAGCTTGCCCACTCCAGATCTACAATGTCAGGGCAGGCTCTCCTGCCCACGTAATATGATAGTCTTAAAGGAAATGCCCTGGGCCATAGGGATCAAGTGTCAGCTGTGCCATTTGGGGAAGGTTCTACAATCCATTGACACTGTACCTACAGTCCCAGGTCCCCTGACACTCAGAGGTGAAGAAAGGTTCTCACTACCCCATTCTCATTCAGCCATCATCAGCTAATAGTGCTACCTCCTAATTCTATTCCCACCTGTGTGGTAGTTCTCTTACGGGGTTCTAGGAAATGCTTATTTCTTCTTCTCTTTTTTCTTTACTACTAACATGAGTTTTTTTCCTAAGCAGTCTTTAATAGAGAATTTATTGAAAAAAATGAGAAAGAAGGTTTCACACTGCCATTTCAACTACAGTCTTCTCTCAGATTTACCTCTTCCA